CTTCACAGGGGAGCAGTTTATTCTGGAGAAGGGCGAGTATCCACGCTGGGACACCTGGACCAACAGTCAGAACAGCTACTCCCTCTTGTCTCTAAGGCCACTCAAAGTGGTGGGTGACTAGCCTCAATACAAAATGATACTGCAGCTGTAAAGCTCTTACAAATGTGCAGGATTTCAAATATGAGCTGCCCACACATTACTTCCCTGCACCCATGGATGGATTACTGAGAGGGTCTACCAAGCACAGATGCAGGGGCCCCCCTGACCTTCACCTGCAAAATTTCACTCAAATTAACACGTTCTGACCAAGAAGAGACCCAAACAACTACAAAAAGACACAAAACAACCACAAGGAGACACAAAAGCACAAAAAAAGATCTAAAATGACTATGAAAAGATTCAAAATTATCAAATTCTGGGTGTCTTGCTCCTATGTAGGTGTTGGGGCCCTTTGCATATCTTTGCCCATGGGCCCATTTTCTCATAATCCGCCCATGCCTACACAGTATACATAATTGTTTCAACTAGACAACATCTACTGGACACATTTGAAGGACTTGTCCACGTGTCTGTTTCTCCTCTATAGGACAGTGCTGATCATAAGCTACACATGTATGAGAACCCTGGATTTACTGGTAGAAAGATGGAGATCGTTGATGATGATGTGCCCAGTTTGTGGGGCCATGGTTTTCAGGATCGCGTGGCAAGTGTCAAGGCTCTTAACGGAACGTAAGATCCTCCCTACGTCTCCATTTCATCCATATGTCACTTCCTTTCTGGTGTATATCTTGTTTTTCTATATTACTCTGTTTTGTCTGGCATTATTTTGAGGATGTTGTGAGACATCACTGTTTGTTTCCCTTTCCTCTAGATGGGTTGGCTACATGTACCCAGGCTACAGGGGGCGCCAGTTTATCTTCGAGCGAGGAGATTTCAAGCACTGGAACGACTGGGAGGCCCCTGCACCTCAGATCCAGTCAGTCCGACGTGTGCGGGACATGCAGTGGCACAAGAGGGGCTGTTTCACTGTTCCTGACCCAGCTCCGGCTCCCGGCCCCGTCCCCGGCCCTGACCCCGACCCTGCCCCAGCACCTCCCGCCCCTCCTGCCACAGCTGGAGCCAGCTGAGCAGGATCCTAACACACCTCCCCTGATGCTGCCGACAGTGCCTGCCCTCTGCCTTAACCTAAACACGGCAAACGCTGCTTGTGCCCAATGAGGAGTGCCATGTATGTTTCAGTGGCGAATAAAAGTTGTTTGACCTGGAGTGGGCCCTATTTGTTGGTGATGTTTTAAGTCAAGGTGGAAGTGGCTTTAACTGAGATACTAAAGATTCAGAAAAACTACTATCAGAGATGTAAAACTAACATCTGTGTGGAAATAATGTAGCCTACATTTGGCAGATATTTGTCTTTAAGATAAACTGCAGATGTGTTTTGAGCTGAATTTATTTTCAAGTCATGTGCGCCACTTTTACTGCTTGTGCTTTCCCATTTTAGTCAGACAGCTCAAAGCCCCATCCAGCATTAGGAGCACATGACTTATTCAGTGAATATGTGAATACGCATCTGCTTAACAGCAATGGAAGTGATGTCATACTTTATGTATGCTTGCTATTAAAACAGTGCATTGCATTCCCTCCCAAAGTCATCATTGTGCGTTTGATGGTTGATGAGCCTCTTGATGAATGGTCAACAAGTAGACAAGGAACTGATATCACCTAAACTCATGTAAATATGAGTCAGTAATGAGTATAGCTTTGGCAAGTGAATGTTGATCCTCTGATAATAATGAGCTGAGATCTGTGTTGCACAAATAGATCCCATCTGCAGACATGACTACATTTTATGATTTTTATGACATAGAATTGCAAATGCAGGCTATTATTTAGTAGATGTTGATGTAATATTTCAAAATAGAAATCATTCCTCTCATAACATTATTAAAAACAGAGACTAGAATGACATAGACTTGCATTTTAACATACAGTATACATACCTATATCTCCCTCCCCTGCAGTGCTCCCCTATCCTTTGGATGTTCTCCCACATCAGTAATGAATACTTCCAAAAACATGCATGGCTGTAGAGATGTCTGCACATGGATTATGTGCATTTGTGATATATTTATATTCTTGTAGTCTCAGTCTCATTCTCAGTGTAAATGTGACTATTTATAGGCTGTAGTGTCACTTTCCTTCACTGGTGCACTGACCACCAAGGTCTCTAATTAAGACGTACACAAAAAAAGTTGCATTACAATATGAAGACAAAAAGCTTTTCACTCCCTTAAAAGGACAGTTCACCCCCAAATCAAAAATACAATTTTTTTCCCTTCAACCTGTAGCGCTATTTATCAATCTACGTTGATTTGGTGTGCCGAATGTTAAAGATATTGGCCATAGTGATGTCTGCCTTCTCTCAAATGTAATGGAACTAGGTGGCCCTCAGACTGTGGTGCTCAAAGTGCCAAAAAAAATACTTCTGAAATGTGCAAAAGGAAGCTTACATCTACTCATGGACACGAGGCTTGTGACTGTGTCAGAGTGAGATGTAAACATGAATGGCGTCCTCCTCGGCTGAACTGTTAAGTTAGTGGCTCAGTGTTGCGAGGTGAGCTAGCAGTAGATGCGTGTTTCCTTCTGCAAGGTAATATGGTTGGTGGGTGTAGTTCAGTACAAAGACAATGGTGAATAGTAATGTGAAACTGCTAACAACAAGGGCTGTGGATTGGATGAGTAACTAATAAGTCATGGTTTCTGTAAAGAGATATTTCTCTTTACAGAAATTATGACTGACTAGTTACGGTTTCTATATCTCTTTCTGTAAAGAGATATTTCTGTTGAGTTTTTCAAATGTATTATATGGCACTTTGAGCACAACAAGCCAAGCGCCATCTAGGTCCATTATACTGGAGAGAAGGCAGACATCTCCAACACTGTTCAACTCACATCAGAACAATCTGGACTGATAAATAGCACTACAGGTAAAAGCAAAGAGGGAGAGTGATTTGGGGTTGAACTGTCCCATAATCTTTTTGACAGAACCCTCCATTCACACAACTTTATAAAGTCTTCATAAACAGTAGATGTAGGCTCAAGCCCATGTTTGGATTCATCAGATGATGGATGGCATTGTCATAAAGAGCTCAGTTTTACTCGTCTATCGCCGTTGCAATGAGTAGTGTAACGTACGACCAGATACTTATTTCAAATCTTGCCTGAAATCTCAGAAAAAAACACAAATAACTAACTACTGCTCTCTGAGACAGACTTGTCCTGTGTCTGTTGATCCTGAATTTAGGTGTAATGAGGTGAAAAAACACAAGATATCCCAACAGAACAGTCACCTATTTTCAGCAGCAAATGCCTGATCACAATAATTCATAGACCTGAATATACCAAAATCCTGAATGTTTCTCAAACTCTTCTCCTGAAAGCACATTCCACTGTGTGCCTTCTATGAGATTAATTCAAACAGCATTTAAATGCACCACAAACAGTTCACATAATCATTTCTGGCTGTGAATTAATGAGGACTGACTGACTCTGTTTCTGCTCTGGGTTTTATGAGGTACAGTTATCTACAGGCGGTGGAGCATTTCAGATGTAATATGACTACTTTAAGAAAATTGTGCCTGAGATCCTCACAGTCTCCATCAAGGACTTGCATTGGTTACACTTTACTCATACCCCATCATATCTATCAGTCAGATCTTTGTGGTAGCCATGCTTCCACTACTTGCTTTGATCTTTTTGCACACCCTCACAGAGGTTAATGCAAGAGCAGTTTAGCAACCCTGAAGCTATACACTGATCAGCCAAAACATTAAAACCACCGACAGGTGAAGTGAATAACATTGATCATCTTGTTACAATGCAATGTTCTGCTGGTAAACTTGGGGTCCTAGCATTCATGTGGATGCTACTTGACATGCACCAACCACCCAATCACCATTGTGGACCAAGCAAACCCCCTCATGGTAACCCAAAGTTACCCAGCAGAACACTGCATTGTAACAAGATGATCAATGTTGTTTACTTCACCTGTCAGTGGTTTCAGTGTTTTGGCTGATCGGTGTATAAGTGTTAATTTGCTTTCTTAAAGGGACAGTTCAAACAAAAATGGAAAAAAAATACTTTTCCTTTTACCTGTAGTGCTATTTATCACTCTAGATTATTTTGGTGTAAGTTGCTGAGTATTTAGAGATATTGGCTGTAGGGATGTCTGCCTTCTCTCGAATATAATAGAAATAGATGGCACTCGGCTTATGGTGCTCAAAGCGCCAAAAAACAAAGAAAAAAAAAGATATAACCCTGTACTCCACAGACTTTGTTGTGAGAAATTTTATGTATGAAATATTTTCTTTCTACTGAACTACACACGCCAACTGTATCACTGGGCAGAAGGAAGTGTACATCTACTCATAGACAAGAAGCTTGTGATTGTGACAGAGCAAGATGTAAATATTGATGGCGTCCTCCTCTGCTGAGCTGTTACGTTAGCTAGCTCAGTGGTGCCAGGTGAGCTAGCATTAGATGGCTGGTAGATGTTTGATAGAAAGAAAATAGTTCCTACATGAAACTGCTCACAACAAGGTCTGTGGATTACCTTGAGTAGCTGGGCCATGATTTCTGTAAAGAGATATTTCTGTTGAGGTTTCTCATGTATATTTTTGGCAAGTTGAGTACCACAAGCTGAGTGCCATCTAGTTCCTTCACATTCAAGAGAAGGCAGACATCTCTACAGCCAATATCTCCAAAATGCAGCAACTCACACCAAAACAATCTGTATTGATAAATAGGACTACAGATAAGAGGAAAAATATGTATTTTTGAATTGGGAGTGAACCGTCCCTTTAAGGGCGCAACACAGCACAGTCATGACAGTGATCAGTTGTGATATAATCTGTAATAATAGCTCACTCCCACCCAGTGGCATAAGGTAGTTACAATGGACCCAGGTGCATGCTTTTATGACAGGCCGAAGTGCACGCTTATGAAGTTATGACTGCTCACTCGACTTGCAGATGTGTTCAGCTTGTCAGTCTTGAAAGATTTTGCACCTAAACTGGGTAACGTATATCATATTGTCTCGTCACATGATCTGTATATGACAAAAATACCAAATAATAAGAAAGAATAAGAAATTATTCATTTACTTAAATGGTTTTTTAAATAGTTATTTATAGTTATGTTTATAGTTAGTTTATGCAGAATAAACATATAATATTGTCACAGATGCCTAATGACTATTTTCCAAAAAAACAGAAAAGAAGAAAGAAAACCAAGACAGAGATGGGTTTGCCTTTTTGAGGGCACATATAGCACATGGCACCATTTTTTATATGAATGTAAGTTCTCTATTGAAGACAGGTGTGTTCCCAAAATGGCAGCCTGAATCACTCATAAAGGCCCCACTACACCCAACACATTAGGTCCTTTTACACGGCCTGTTCAAGGTGGGAATATCGTGCCATACTGCCGCCTCACTGTTCTGTATATAAGGCATGATCATGGTAAGTGGGACAGAGTTGTCTTGCATTTATGCTGCCAAGGGAGGTAGTAACAGTAATGGTGTCTGTATGAACAGGACAGCCGATTTAAACAGCTTATCCGCTGGAGGGTCCTAAGGACAGAGGGATGTCGTATGCTGTAAAGCCCAGTGAGGCAAATTGTGATTTGTAATATTGGGCTTTATAAATAAAATTGATTGAAAATTGAATTGAAAAAGCGGCTAACTTAAAGAAGAAGAACGGCAGCTGAAAATGTCCGCAAATTGGGAAAGCAATGAGGTTTGGGAGCTCCTTATCCTCCAAGCAGAGGACCAGATCAGCTGCCATATTACAGAGAAGGTAAATGATTGTAATTGTCATGTTTTGTCATTGTTATTGTTTGTAAAGTGCTGTCGACGCGTATATTTGTGTCACACTAAAGGCCAACACTGTTGTGTTACATGTCCCGCTTGTCACGGCTCTTTTGGTTTCGCAATGCCAGCGTGCTGTCTAAAATCACACACTGGAGCAACATGATGCTGCTGTTGTTTGGTTCTGTGTAAAAATGCAAAGGGCGCATAAAGAAGGGACTAAGTAGCAGCTCTATAGCGCCATCTCTGTGTAAAAAGGGCCTTTACTGGAGAGCAGGCAGGCCCCACCCACACCCACTGGGCCACTGCCTGCACTGTCCATATTTACACTCCTGCTCCCACCAGCAGATGTGGAGATGGACTCAAACTCTTCACTCAGTAATTATATTACTCTATTTTTGGAAAAATGTCTACATACAAAATCTGAGTTAAAAATAACTTAAATAAAAATAAAGGTGAATGGTGTATTTCATGTGATCGCAGCCTGAACCAGTATTCTTGTGTAATTACTCCATAGTATTACGTGCTGTTGTAGTTTAAACTATATCACACTTCTCGCCCATCTAAAACTTCATCTTTCAGAGCAACTTGTGACTGTAAAGACAAAAGGCACCCCAATGAAAAATGGTGGTGTTAACATATAAATTCTCACTAATATTCAAATAAAGTACTGGTGACGCAAAATGGAACATAAATGACTTGAGAAAAGCACTTAAATTATATTTATGATGCACCACAAAACCTTCTTCTCCTCCTCCTTATTTAAAAGCTATGCAGTTGTATCTGTCCTTAAAGGTGACACCTGTCCACTTTGATCCTGTTGTATTTAAGTTACACATACTATTTACTGTTTAAATTTACATTTAGATATTAATTTAACTTTTGAAAAGAGTTTGTGTATATCAAAATAAAATCTTTTCAATAGCAGATTATATTAATCTCTTTCCCCTTACTGGTACAACAAAGTAATTAAATTTGGAAACATGACATTTTGTTTACTTTTTTTTTTTTTTTAATAGTATCATTACTGAATCTTTTTACCACCAGCAGAAGAAAGGTAGCGTCTGCAGAAAACAGGTCTGACAAAAAATATTTGCTTTTGAGCTTCCAAACAGCAGAGGCAACACATTTTGATGTTAAACCTTGATAGTGTTTTCTAGAAATCGAATATCAAATAAACCTACTCTTGTGGAAATATTCAGCAGCATTTGGACTGTTATTCAAATCAGTCCGAATCTCTCCAGCACAGTAAAACCCATCTTTCACAATCCTTCTCTCTCTCTCCCCCTCTCATTGTAGGTGTGGGACTCTTGGCAGTGTTTGTGCTGAATCATGTGGATATCGAACAATGACTGGCTGGACAAAACTGACAACTAATGAAATAACTTTGTGGGAGTGTGACAGCTTGGGGTGGGGGGAGGCTACACGGTGACCCCTCATTTCAGTGTGCTGGGCCTATGGCAGGCCGATCTGCTGGCCGGCTTGGACACTGTGGGTACTGTTGGCAGAGTTTCCACCCCTGGGCGTCCCGTATATATTGAGCTCATCATGCCATCACAAACACACTGGCACAGACAGGTACTGGTAAGAGGTTCATGTCCGTCATGCTGTATTTTTTATAAAGTTTATCATTTTTATCAGTATTTGTTTTCCTTTTGCCACTATATTTTAGGTTTAATTTCTAAAAACTGTATCACATGTTGTATTGCTGTAAATCTGTGTTCAGGAGGCTGTTAACTTCAGAAACTTGTTTTGGAGGGAGAGGGATGCGACCTTTTATATACATGTGTGCGAAAAATAATGTAAAACAAAATCTATGAAATTGGGATTAACAGCTGTTTGACCTGCTCATATTTATAAATAAAGATGGAACATTTTGTAGACATCCATAGATATTTATCAAAAAAAAGAAATTATAATTTTTCTTTTCAGTTTCATCTTTGCCAATCCATTCACTATGGCCACAGACCACCAGAACCCTGCAACCAAGCAGCAGCAGCCAGGCACCAGTGCATTTAAGGTGAGAGGAAACGCAACAGACACCAGTTCAGTTACAATTTACAACTTCCTCCTTGGCCTTGGCGTAAGCACTTGTGCGTGCCCTATTTGCATCCTTGCATCCTCCAAACATCACATTGGAAACAGACTGGCCCTCTTGATATTGAGACCAATTGCTCAACAACATTCACACTCTCCTTCTTTCTCCTATTGGTACACAGCTGGTTATCTATGAGCAGGAAAACTTCCAGGGACGCTGCCATGAGCTGACTGGTCCCTGCAACAACCTCCAGGAAGAAGGCATGGAGAAAGTGGGCTCCATACTGGTGCTGTGTGGACCGTGAGTGTGGGTCAGAGACAGACAGAAAACTAGAAAATGATTTAAAGCTGAACATACAGAAAGGCAGTGACAGAGAGTGTGGGCCAGTCAGAGAAATAAGGGGCTTACTCTGTGAATGAGTATGAGATGAAGGGGAGGAAAATGGCCAGAAAAAGTTAAATGTGTGCCACTAGATTTCTTTCCCACTTTCCCCTCACAAACATCCATCTGTTTCTCCTCTGCCCGCTCAGATGGGTGGGATACGAGCAGGCCAGCTGTAAGGGGGAGCAGTATGTGTTTGAGAAGGGGGAGTATCCTCGCTGGGATTCCTGGACCAACAGCAGGCGTAGTGACACCATTATTGCATTCCGCCCGATTAAAGTGGTAAGAAAGAAAGCTTTTTACTGTTACATACCCCCACCAGTCATCCAATCAGCTGCTTAACAAATCATCCACTGCTTTGCTCCTCTCTCAGGACAGCCAGGAGCACAAGATTGTCCTTTACGAAAACCCCAGCTTTGCAGGGAAGAAGATAGAAATCATAGATGATGATGTCCCTAGTTTTCACGCACATGGCTACCAGGAAAAGGTCTCCTCTGTTCGGGTTCAGAGTGGCACGTGAGTACATCCTCCCTGCAGATGTTTTGCAAATAACTTGTACATGTCTCTTGTCACTATCCTTTCACCTTTAACTGCCTCTTATCTGTTTTCCCTCTCTGCACTCCTGGTGCACCAGTTGGGTGGGCTATCAGTATCCAGGCTACAGAGGCTATCAGTACCTGTTTGAAAAGGGGGAGTATAAGGACAGCACTGAGTTCGGAGCCCAGATTCCTCAGATCCAGTCGGTTCGGCGCATCAGAGACATGCAGTGGCATCAGAGGGGTGCTTTTCACCCCGTCAACTAAGCTTGTGACTCTTTCCTGTCATGAACCCTGACCTCAGCAGCCTTGCTCCCTCCCAGCATCCACCCCTTTGTCCTTCATTTACACCATACAGCATTTTGATATCTATTGCAGCTATTGCAGTAGTGACCTTCTTTGAAGCAAACTAATAAATCCTTATTGCTTACATTTGACTTGTTGTGTGATTTACCTCTGTCTCACCCTCTGCATCAGTTCTTGGCCAAACTTCTCATCTTTAAGGAATATCACAGGTGGAATTAACATTGCTCCAAATATGATAAATTATTTAAATGGTCCATGGAAGTACCATAAAAATATTCCAGTGCTGTTTATGATGTAGCTACTTTATTGTGCACGGGGCAACTCCGACCAATAGATGGTGCTGTAGGAGCTAACAACTGCTGTCACTTCCTGTTTCCCGGTGAAGAAGAGTTACACATGATGAAACATCATGTTTCTCTATCTGGTCGTGTAATGCTGAACGTTGTTTAAGTACGATAACTTATATTTAACTGTTTTTTTTTAAGTGTACTTCATCTCCACATTGACAATTCGGACCTCGGTTCATCGGAAACGTTGGTATGGAAATGTTATCTCATAGAAATGTGACTAACTTAGCTTAACTTGGCTAGCTTCATGTGGAAACACGTTGACTGTCTGGTCATGTATTTGGTTTCAATGGAAACCGGATAGCTAATTTACTACCGTGTGCTTAAATTGTGTTGAGTCATTTCAGTTATCTGAAGAGTTTTAGGAGTTGTGAGTATCAACGTAACCACAATACGTTTGTGTTGTTGGAGTCTTGAGCAGAGACAACCTCATCTCTTACATAGCATAACTTCTACAAAGCTGGAAATTAACGTTAGCTACATGAGCTAGAAGTACATCCCTGTTAGACGGTGTTTAAAGACTTTAGTGATTTTGTTCAATCTTTATGTCGGCATGTCTCAAAAACATCTTTATCCACTGACTTTAATGTGGCTATGTACAGGTTATTTACTTACATTACATTTACTTACTACCATCAAAGGCAAAATGCCCCAAAAAATATCTTTGAGAAAAAAAAACAAAACAAAAAAAACAAACAAACTTCTGAACCACTGAACGTTTCCTGAAATGTCCAGTTGTAACCTCCTTCCCTTTTCTGTTGTGCACTGCATTGTGGGATAATGGTGTCCATTGCCGGTGTTGTGTCCCTACTGGTTTCCAATTTAACTGGTTTCCTTACCGAACAGCCGCAGATGTGCTGCGCCTCCGTCAGCAGATTCGTCACAAATTCACAAACATAGGCTACAAAACATTTTACTGGCGATCTTAAAGTCGCAGCCCACATCTACCACAGCGAATGTGCTTCTGTAAGTGAGCACTACGTAGCCTACCAGCAACATTAAAAAAAAGAAAGGAAAGAAAATATGATATACACAAATTTGCGTCAAGCTGGACTCGATTTCACGTCAACAAAAGACAATATAACGCAAACCGCACGTCTACCTGTGTGAGCCAGTGGGACTCACAGAGCGTACGGCTTTCCTCAGGTATTAGTAAATTACGTCAGCATCCAGGTAACATTTTGATTTGGGCTGACCTGAGACAACTGGTTACCCTCGGCTTGCCTTGAAAATACCCACACATATTTATCAATGTTTCTTGTTCTTTTTCCACGAGTCTACAAACATATTCAGTGCCACATTACAGTCCGCTTAATAATATTTAAATAAAAACCAAGCACTTATAGCCACTGGATCATTGCAGAGGTGAAGCAAGGACTTACATTTACTCACGTCACTGTAATTGAGTAGTTTTTTGTGTACTTGCACTTTTTAAAATCTAATTTGAGTGTTACATCAGTAGCCTATGTTTTAATTTAAGTATTATGCTTCGCTGCATTTTAAATGACTTCCGTGACCGAGTAAAAAAAAAAAGTCGGCCGAAATTTTAAAAAAGCAAACGGAATTGTATAAGCGTTAACTACCATGACACAATAATAATAGTATTACACTCTATGACAACCTGGCAGCTAGCTCTGATGGAGACATATGAGCTCTAAGAACAAACTCACAATTATGGACGCACACTAAAAGAAATGTCGCCATGGTCCGAGAGAGGTGACGTCATGCTGTTATCTCTGTCTCTACAGGTACGCAGTGAGCGAGTTAGATCGCCACTTTTTAAACATGACAGGCTTTGTCATAGTGTGCAGTGTTGTGCAGACTGTAATGTGGCACTGAATATGTTTGTAGACTCGTGGAAAAAGAACAAGAAACATTGATAAATATGTGTGGGTACTTTCAAGGCAAGCCGAGGGTAACCAGTTGTCTCACGTCAGCCCAAATCAAAATGTTACCTGGATGCTGACGTAATTTACTAATACCTGAGGAAAGCTGTGCGCACTGTGAGTCTCAGTGGCTCACACAGGTAGACATGCGGTTTGTGTTATATTGTCTTTTGTTGACGTGAAATCGAGTCCAGCTTGACGCAAATTTGTGTAGGTTTTCTTCCCTTTCTTTTTTTTTTAATGTCGCTGGTACGTAGTGCTCACTTAGGCTACAGAAGCATATTCGCTGTGGTAGATGTGGGCTGCGACTTTAAGATCGCCAGTAATATGTTGTGTATGTTTGTGAATTTGTGACAAATCTGCTGACGGAGGCGCAGCACATCTGCGGCTGTTCGGGAAGGAAACCAGTTAAATTGGAAACCAGTAGGGACACAACACCGGCATATTTAAAAATCAAATATTTTAATATGCGAATTAGCATCCATAAGTGTACTGATATTTGTCATCTTCTCCAGCTTTACATACTGTATAATGAAAACCTTTTCAGAATCACTATGTAGTTTGGAGCCGGGACACATTTTTTACTGTTTTTGCCATGAACGTGGTGTAGTTTAAATGGCACATTTTCTGTGTTTTATGTAATGTTCTTTCATTAGAAAAATAATGCATTTGTGTGTCAAGGGCCAAAAGTGCAGACAAAATGATTAAACTATAGATAGATTTTGTATGCCAGGGTCCCTTTTACTGAAATAACAATGTTAAATCCCTTACATTAAAGATCCAGTGTGTAGGATTTAGGGGGATTTATTACCAGAAATGGAATATACTTTAATAAGCATGTTTTTTTTAGTGTGTAATCACCTGAAAATAAGAAGTGAGGTGGTTTTTTTTTTTTTTTTTACCTTAAAATGAGCCGTTTATATCTACACAGGGAGAGGGTCCTCATCTATGGAGTCAGCCATTTTGCACCACTATGTTTCTACAGTAGCCCAGAACAGACAAACCAAACACTGGCTCCAGATAGGGCTAGATACATTTTTGTGTTGGCTAACCTAGTTAGCTGCCCCGTCCAGACAAGCTGAACAGCATCAGGAAAACCTTTAAACATAAATTTGCTATATTCAGTGTTTTTACCAGTTGTTAATCACCTGCTCTGTTAGTTTTCGGGAGGAAGAGACCTTTGTGGATTTTTTGGGTCCTGGTTAAAACCTCCTTAACAAAGAACACTGAAGGAATCCTAACTGGGAGTTCACGCCTGGCATACAGAAAACGTTTAAGCTGGTTGCAATCTGCAGTCCTCACCACTAGATGCCACTAAATCCTACACACTGCTTCTTTAAGTGAATAATTATAGAGAAAAGGTCATTGACATCAAAACTTATGGGTCACCTGTAAGAATCTGCAAAAAGATGGAGCATTGTAGATTAGTTTTCATCATGTGATTGACTGACTTTTGCTTGAAAATATTTGTTATACTAATTGTTATCACTGTTATCCTTTAAAAGAAACCTTCCTCCAACAGTCAAGATGCCTGTCCTGTGCAGTAACTGTGCTGACAAGCGTGCTGTGCTGAAACGTCCAAAAACAGGCCACTCGCTGTGTAAGGAATGCTTCTTCTGGGCCTTTGAAGAGGAGGTCCATCAGACGATTGTGGCAGCAGAGCTGTTTAAACCTGGGGAGATAGTAGGAATTGCTGCCTCAGGTGGAAAGGACTCGACAGTGCTTGCACATGTAATGAAGGTCCTCAATGAGCGATACAACTATGGCCTTGAACTTATGCTTCTCTCAGTGGATGAGGGAATCTCAGGTTACAGAGATGACTCCTTGGAGACCGTAAAGAGGAATCAGCAACAATATGAGCTACCACTGAAGATTGTCTCGTATGAGGAGCTGTATGGCTGGACTATGGATGCTATAGTGAAGCAGGTGGGACTGAAAAATAATTGCACTTTCTGTGGAGTGTTCAGAAGGCAGGCGCTAGACAGAGGAGCCATCATGCTGAAAGTGGACAAGATATGTACAGGTAACTCCAGATCCAGATAGCATTATTTAAATGTGAATGTAAATGTTTCAGCCTTGAAATACGACTAAACATTCTCAGCCTTTAAGTCCAAGAACAAATATTTTGTCAGAATTTGTCACATGTATGTATGTGTTTTTCACAGGTCACAATGCTGATGATGTGGCAGAGACAGTTTTAATGAACGTCTTGCGAGGGGACATAGCTCGTCTGCGCCGCTGCACTGCCATCTCTACAGCCAGCGAAGGTGAAGGGGTTGTGCCACGCTGCAAGCCCCTCAAATACGCATATGAAAAAGAGATTGTTCTGTATGCTTACTTCAAGAAGTTGGACTACTTCTCCACTGAATGTATATACTCTCCCAATGCTTATCGTGGCCATGCGAGGACCTTTTTAAAGGACCTGGAGAGTGTAAGGCCCAGCTCCATAATTGATATCATCCACTCAGGGGAGAACCTGTCTGTGCGGGATGGGGTGAAGATGCCTGTGCAGGGGACCTGCACCCGCTGTGGCTATATCTCTAGCCAGGCTCTGTGCAAGTCCTGTGTGCTGCTGGAGGGGTTGAACCGAGGTCTGCCAAAGCTGGGCATCGGCAAACACCATCGCCTGCATGACAAAATCCTCTCCCAGCAGCCCCTTACTGAGAAGGAGGAGAGAAAGCTGAAACCAGTGGACTTTTGACAATTATTATCCCCTGTTTTATTTAACATAAGACTAAAGATATGTAATAACATTTTAGAATAAATCACATTGATCTTTTACACACATAAAGACTAGTCCAATAAGTACACTGTCTCATCTGCTTTGATTTATAAATATTTATTGAAAGTTGGTATTAAATATTTTGATTTAAGTGAAGAATCTTCACAGCATAGAAA